TCTCTGGGCAACACTTCTGAGGAAAATCTCCCGCTCATTCTCACTTGCCATGCTTTAATTCCCATGATGGAGCAGTGCATGAATTCAGTTTGTTCCTTCTGTAAGTCATGCTCTCACAGTAGTAGGCATTTTGTCCACAGAACAAGACTAGAGATAGAATGAGGAGAACTCCTGAAAAGGGGACAGGACTGACCAGCATTGCCTGCTCCAATTTATGGACTCGTTCTCTTTGAAGTTCACTTAACATGGAGACAGCTGACGTGCCAGTTGGCCTCATGGCCAACTAAGCAGCAGTTTCACCTGTCTGCAGTAGCGTGTTTGTCATCTGCAGATCTGAAGGTAGTTTGAGTAAAGTAATGTTTTGAAGGACCCTGCCATCTGTCTAGCTAGGCACCAAGTGAAAAACACGAGGCATTAAGTCTGAGCAGATGCGACAGTCTCAATGCCATTCATTTGAAGAGTTCTAACTTTCAAACTTTACATTAACTGTTCTAATACGCTGATGGTGCCCCGATATCCTCAGTTCTGTTCTGTCAAGAGGACGTGTTCTACGGGGTCAGCTTTACCCTTACCTTCCCGCTACTTCTCCATTGCCATTCCACTTATGCTTCTTGATCTAACAAACTTTGCTTCATCCCATCTCCTGGACTCCATTGGGATCTCTGTTAGCCTTCAGCATACAGGTGGGAATAAACGATCATCCCCCCCCACAGAAAAACAACAACAAAACAAAACAAAACAAAAAAAAAACAGAAGCAATTCCTGCAGCAGACTGATAATTACTGCATTTGTGCAAATCTCACAACCAGAAACGCTAAATTAAGAGTAGTGCTTTATGTGCAGTTCATGGGACGTTCAGGTTGGATATTAGGAAACATTTCTTCTCAGAAAGAGCAGTGAGGCAGTGGCACAGGCTGCCCAGGGAAGTGGAGCAGTCACTGTCCAGGGAGGTGTTTAAGAAACATGGAGATGTGGCACTGGGGGATGTGGTCAGTGGCACTGGGGGATGGGTTGGGGTTGGACTGGATGATCTTCGAGGTCTCTTCTGATGTTAATGATTTTATCATTCTATGTTTTACCCACAAACTCCTTAAATATCCTGCCACCTTGAACCCATGTTTTACTTTCTGCACAGAATACATTCCTGGTTCACTGGATTCCTTTTAACAGTTCTTGCATTCATGAATTTTAAAAGACATCTATTTATCATTTAAATGTCATGTTAACTCTATTCATCCTAATCCAGTAGCAAGGCACTGCCAGCGCTGTTTGTACTCTTACGTCTCATCTGATCAATGAAGGATATAAAAGCTGAAGCAGGCAAATGGATGGATTGAAAATAAAGGTCATTACATACTGGAATTGACACGGTGAAGAAAATAAAACACGCAAGGTAGTCTCCAGGGAGAAGGTTAAAACTTAGCCTCATCATCCACAGGCTCTGTATAGAGATGGAATAAAACAAAGAAGTAGCACCAATTATTCACTGAAACATCTCTTATTCGTCAGTGTAGTAAGAATCTTTCTCCCCATCTCTGTCCTAAAATTTCTGTTCTTCTACTTCCCTTTGAAGAGAGAAAACAATCCCACAAATCTGCAGTCCATTCTCCCCATTTAAGAGAGGCACCTTGTAGTTAATGCTTTTTCTTAGGTACCACCATAAGAAAAAAGCAACATCACAGTTAGACAACCCCCATGTCTCATTTGAAAAATTCTAGCTGTTCGCAGCTGCCTTGCACTTTGGTATATTTTAACAAGATTTAAAAATCCCTAAAGTGAGGATTTATTATCTCTTTCAGCCAAGAATGAAGTAAATCTATCATGCCGTATAAATAATTCATACGAATTCTAGAAACATAGCAGGAATATAGGTCAGGAGGAGCATCACAGGAGAGGGACAGAATGTCCTTTACTTGGAGTATGAGGCAGATCTAAATTCTGTTTCCTGAGACAGACTATGTCAACTGAAAGAATGAAGATGGCTCCTAAATCATTCACAAAGCAAAGGGTGACTTGTCACTCACTGGAGGATTCTGAAGAGAATACAGAGGATGAAAGAAACTATAACTTCTTTTTCAGATAAGAATTTGTCTGAGGTAAGTCAGCTGGATATGAAGAAGGTGATCTTGTGTCTCTTCAGAAAAAAGCCTGAAAAGTGGCAGAGGGGTTGGAACTGGATGATCTTTGAGATCTCTTCCAACCCAGATCATTCTATGATTCTATGCTGGTGATTTCCAGCCATTAAGGCAAATCAGTGACCCATCATCAGGAGAAGTGATGAGCCAGCCAGGAGGATCCACACATATTAAGTGAAACTCCAAATGCTTCCAGGAACAACTCTCTTATAAATAATTGAGAGCTGGGAGTATGTATTTCAGTTTAAACATTGAAGTACAGCACCTTACACATCATATATCTTAGCATACAGAAGTTCTCCAGTCACAACCAAATATGTTGATGAACCTCTAAGGGAGCCCTTAACAGCAGTCCAAAAGTCCCCCTGCTGCTGTAAGGAAAGCCTCCAAATATTTGCTAGTCAGGATGTGTTTTAAAAAAAAGTCACACAGAAATACGTTTATGAGGAAGCTTCTACAGAAAGTCTGGACAATGTTACTTTAGTAGTCATTCTGAGAATATAAAACACACAAGGAAATTCTTCTTGCTTAAATACGGAAATAACATTCACAACATACTGATAATCAGTTTAGCCAGCTGCTTGAAAACAACACAAGAAAACATTTCAGAAAGTATGTAAAGTTTGGAAGAAAAAACAACCACAAAACCAGAGCAGAAGAATGAACCAATCCAGGTAGCTGAAAACAGCACAAGAGCAGACCAGGTATAAACAAACATGAAAGAATGACCCAAGTAAAGCCAAGGCAAAGCCTTTCTTGAAGGAATGAGCAGTAGGTTTGGAAAGAGTCGTGCAGCACCACTAAGTTAAAGCTAGGATAAAGAACTGTGCTGCTGTCAGCATCTTCCTAAGTGGAGGAGAAAAGCCTCTATCCCTGGAAATGGCATCCCTTGGAATACCCACTTTTTGGTCACTGTGCTGATAACACAAATCTATCCGAGGGAAAGAAAGCACAGCCAGCCAACCAACCAACCAACCATCCTGCTGCAGCAGTGAGCAGGAATAGCCTTGGCTGATAATGCAAACTATCTATTTAAAAAAAGCTGAAAGAAAATAGAGGAGGATGCAGAGGGATACGCTGATACGCAGTGCTTTATGGCTCCTGCTGTTACATATGTAACATACATGGCCATAATGCCAAGGGGTTACTTACACAGAGGTGCTGGAGTTTTTGCATTGCCCCATCTCTTTCAGTACACTCAGTAGGACTCCTGCCTCAAAGACAGGTGGGACAAACTGCCCACTATTAACTGGTTTTGGGGTAACTGCCAGACATCTGGCAGTTGTCCTTCACCTACCCTTACACTGGCATGAGTGACTGCTGAGCAGGGCAGATAGATGTGTCACCTCCCCAAGTCGCTCAGCCTTTTCCACCAGTAAAACTCTGTTGTACCACGTAAGAAGACAAGCTGCTAAGATGCCTAAGATACAGTTGCCCTCAGCTCCAATCTCCCAAGTACTTTGCATGTGGCCTCTCACCGTGAGCAAAGTACTGCTAATCAGATAAGAACTTCCTTATTTATCTGCAGTGTTAAGAATTAATCTCCAAAGAGACTACTATATTTAGCTAAGAATCTCTTAAGGGCTACTTGTTTTCTTACGCAGCTGAAAAAATGCCTGATCCAGCACAAACATATGAAGTTGCTTTCCATATGTATGAGCACACACTTGTCACCCACAGACAAGAACACACTGCTCCAGAGAAAACTAAAGATATTTGACAGCACGTGAAAAATCACTCCTTGCCTCCAGCTATTACTAGAGGAACAAATACAAAATTCCTTCTCCCTGTTCCATACCAAATATTTTTTCCAGTGGTCCAATTCTTTCTATTCCCCCGTACGAAGAAATGGGATGGTTGACTGGAAACCTACAGCGAGTCCTTCCAAAGTACCCACACTTCCTTTCAAGTCCCAGAGAACTGAGCTCATCACTGAACAACCTTCACAATCACTCCTGCCTACTCTGCAGCCAATCCAGGGCCTGATGGCTTCCAGCAGGGATCATCCTTTATTTCCATTCCCCATACATCTCTGAGCACACTCACAACGCTTCAGGACATGAATACAAAGCCACCCCAAGATCCTGCTGAAAATCCAGGGATGTGTGAACATGCATGCATGTGTGTGTACCTTTGTATGCACTGGAATCGGAAAGGACTCCAACCCTGACTTAATACAAACCAGCCAAAAAAGAACCATGAGCCAGAGGGAATGGAATTTTCGGTTGAAAAGAGTATAGATGAGCTCCTTTTCCTACAAAAGAAGCATGTCTAAGATGCATAAATAAATTTGTTTAATGTGCAATAGGCTACTCTACAGAATTGGCTTATGCAAGCTCTTCCCAAAATGATGGGAAACCTCTACTGTTACCATGTGAGGTTTTAACTCTGCTATAAAATCAACTTAAAAATATTTTTGTCGTAGGGAGGTATGAGCTTGCATTTGTACAATAGTGTGTTTGACATCATTAATCCACAAAGATCCTTACAAAAGGGGAAGAGGCTGCTGAGTATCATTTCCTGCCCTGTGCTTTCTGAAAGCCAAGGTGTTGTTTACTATCTTTCACTGAAAGTAAATAAATAAAGCTATGTGTAGGAAAAATAACTTGTGTTTAAACTGGCCAAGAACTTTTCAGTTAGATTTTGAATCGAGGTTGCAAAATAATGAAAGACAACATAGGTTAGGAGGAGCAGCAGTGCCCAAAGGAAGTCTGGTTTTGTAGATTCCAGCCTATGTAGCAAGAAAACTGGCTCTTGAGATCACAGGTAGGATTTGGAAAGGTTACATTTTCATTTCAGTCATTTAACAGTAAGGGACAAAGATCAATAGCAAAATCTTAATAATCTAAGGAAATAAAGACAGGCTCAAAAGTGAGATTTTATTCATATTTGTTACTTATTCACAACCCAAAGTATGATAAACTGATAAAAACAGCCTAGAATGTTAGTTCACATCACTAAATTCAATTCACATTTGTATTAATAAAATACTGAAAGGAAAATGACAACACAGCAGGTTCAGGAAAACAGGGTGGCTACTATGACTGGAAATCTACACCATCAACTGGTCACAAGTGATCACTTGTTTCACATTTATTATTTAAAAACAACACAAATTACAAAATTCCTGATACACCCAAGTCCTCTGTGCTCATAAAATATATCTTCTGTCTTATCAAATTTCAGTAGAATGGAAAGAAAGAACTGCTGACATATTTCATTCCAATATGCAGTACAAGAATACTGAGTACTCCCCCCAGCTGTACAGCAATGCAGCACTGCAGTCTGAGTCGCACTTCTGTCCAACTCACATGAAGAATCATTTGCAAGCTGCTCTGCAAGTGCATCACTGTGATCAGAACAAACCTCCACTCATGCATTAGTCAGTGCCATCATCAAGCTGTGGCCTAAATTCTGCCCAGTGCACACTGACCTCAGACTCCAGAGCACAAAATGAAGCAAAATCGAGCTCTGTATTTAAGGCAAAGACAATCAGATCCAACAAACTGAGATGAGTACCCTCAGCTGCCACCACGATATAGGAGCTGCTCACTGTTATGCAGAGATTGGTTATACATGGTATGATAAATCTTCAGTACCTTACAGAGGCAGCACATTGCCACCCTACCATAAAAACAACCATCCCAGATTGAAAAGTCATATGCAGGTTGAACAGCAGCAAAATAGCCAGTAGCTTGCATGCAAACATCATGTTAGACTGTTACATTCTTGAAAATACAACTGCTAATTGTGTAAACACAGGTGAGATATCTTTTATTTCTTTATTTTTTTCCATTTCACATACCTTTTCCCCCCCTCTTTGTTATTTCTGAGAACAGGTGGGGTCTCACAGAACAAAGGAGCTTTAACAAATGTTTAGACCTGGAATTACAGACTTTTGTTACAAAGATTAAAATTGTAATCTGTTAAAGAAAGAATTCCTCTTCCTCTTCCTAATATGCTTTTAAAAGCCTCACTGGGTGAAGCAGCAGCCCAACTCTCAGTCCAGAAGAAAAAGCCATTTTCATTCTGTACTGAAAAAAAAACCATGAATCATTTTAAGAGAGAACAGAAACAGCCAAAGCAGACTGTGTGTCAGCAGCTCTACCATGGGGAAGAGAAAACGAATGAATATAGATGCCATAGTACCTAAACAGCCATTGAAACTGCTTTAACTGCCAAACGTTACAGAATGCAGTGTACGAGGCAGGAAATACATTCAGAGTAATGGCAGCCTTGGGTAAGCAATCGCTGTGACTACACAGAGAAATCAACAAACAAAAAACTTATTTACAAGCATTTGTACCGACAGGCATAAGGACCAAGTTTAACACTTGTGAAATGCATCTGACTGCTAGAACTAGACTGACAAAGTTCCATTCTTTAGTCCTAATACAGTTGCTTTTTCTACACTGGAATAAACCTATTGTTTCGATCAGGTCTACCCTGAAGCTTTTGTGTCTAGTTGGCCCAGATCCTGGAAATGAAAAGCTGTACAGGTGTTTTAATTTTATTTTGTAACATGGGCACACATTCACTACCTACCTTTGACTTCCCAGCACCCTACCCAAAAAGCTGCCAGCATCCTACTGCTATCACTGTTACAAACTTATCTGGTCTGCTCACCAACATGTTAATTTTGGATCAAGAGGATTCATTCTTCAAAGTATGCATTTCATTATCTGCTACATTTTTAAGATTAAAAAAAAGAGGTTAGGTTGTATAAAATCAAGTCTGTATGCAAAAATCTAAGCCCAGTAGAGCTTAAAAATAGATTAAGTAGGTATTTAGTTACTGTCTACTGCATTTTAACATGGGCATAATTAGCATCTAATAAAAATCTAAAAGTTGTATATTTATGGAACGCTTCATCCAGTTATAGCAACCCCAAAGACTAACAAGCAGACCAACTCACAAGTACCTATGTTGTTTACATAATTAAAGGAATAAGATGCAAAGTCAAAAAAATATATTTTATCCTTCAAAAGATAAGGAAAGTAAAACAAAATGCTGGTTCTGTAACAGTGCAACAACTGCAGCATGTTTTGCACGCAGCACATGATTTGCTACATTTAGTGGCACTTAAGTATTATGCGGTAAATACTGAAAGTAAGACAAGTTTCTGATCTGCATAAGCATAATCACATTATTACCAGAGTTGCTAAGCTACAGCATTCTGAATAATATCAATTCAATTTTAGCATCTCAATCACTAGCTTTAATACACGTCAACATCCTGTTTTACATCTTGCTACCAAAGTGATCACAGAAGCCAAGTATTTTGTGAACTTGCCACTGTGCTCAGACCAGGTTCAATCTGACCAATCGTTCTCATCAAATTCTGAATCATCATCAGAATCACTGTACTCCACAGCAATGCGTCTTGAAAGGATGGTTGCCACATCATTCCCAACAGGTTCTCGCTTTGCTTCTTGCTCACGTTGCTCTTGCACCTTTTTCAGCTGTATTCCTGTAGAGATTAAGTTTTCCAGGTTAAGTTTGCAAATTTCTTTCATTTCTTACTTCTTACTCAAAAAGAAAATCAAAGAAACTGTTGAATTGGAGCACCTTCCTGAGCAAAGAAGAGATAAAGTCCAAATAAAATAGGCAGACTGGAATTCATTCTCAAGACTTGAGTTCTTCTAGACTTACCATAGAATGGCTTGGGTTGGAAGAGACCTTAAAGGTCATCTAATTCCAACCTCCCTGCCATGGACAGGGTTACCAACCACTAAATCAGGCTGCCCAGGGCCCCATCCAACCTGCCCCTGAACACCTGCAGGGATGGGACATCCACAGATTCTTTGAGAGCTGTGCCAGTGCCTCACCATCGTCTGAGTAAAGAATTTCTTCCCAACATCTAACCTAAATCTCCCCTTTTCTAGTTCAAAACCATTCCCCCACCTCCTATCAGTATCTGCCCATACAAGAACCCTGTCTCCTCCATTTACAAGTTCCCTTCAAGTACTGGATTGAGGTCTCTTTGGAGCTTTCTCTTCTCCAGGCTGAACAACATGGTGATAATATATTAAACTTAAATATTCAAGACTGTACACATCCTTTTGATATGGAAAGTGAAGTCTTCACAAGTGCATTTGGAAACAGCAGAACTACTCTACGGTGTAAACAAAGTCAGGAGTAGCTATTAGTCACCAGTTAAAAATCACTGGGCAGAAATTTGGTGTTGGATACCTCAGTTCTGATTAGAACCAAAAAATCAATGTACTTTTAATGGAAAATTCTACAGAATATACATAAATATAGTTTTCATTTTATTACGTACACACAAATACTAGCATGTGTTTAGCAAAGCTTCAAGATCTCAAATCTGTTTCTAAAAAGTAATGCTCCAATTCATGATGACTGAGGTTAGAGTATGCATCTGGTACCTGTGGTAAACCAATCTTCTCAAAGAAATTCTGCCTAGCGGGGAACAGAAGCCATGAACATGGATCGCTGGAAAATACAGTGCTTTCATTGAAGAAAAAAAAGAAAAAAAGGAATGGTTAAAATGGGAAAGTGCCCACTTACCCATCCGAATGGCAGCCAGGAGGTCACTTCGTGCATCACTTACTGGCGGCTGGGCAAGTTCGTGGCGCTTTGCCTCAGCAGCTGGAGGAGCATGCATGGGGGAGGAAGAGAGGGAGGAAGCTGCAGCAGGAGGGCCTGGCGGGGGCGGAGGGGGGCCAGGAGGAGGAGGAGCAGTGACAACAAGCCCGCTAGGAGGAGGAGGATGAGCGGATACGTATACGGAGCCCGTCACCAGTCCAGAATGGGAAGGTGGCCCAGGAAGCTGAAGGGGACTAACAAATGCTGTTTGTGCTGATGGAATCATAGGGGGAGGAGGAGGAGGGGGAGGGCCTGCAGGATTGTAATATTCCACCATCTGAGCTGGAAGCATCCTATATAAAACAAAATAAAAATATTAAATACATCAGAAGTTAGGACTTACAGAACAATCACCCCTCAAACTGTTCTCATCTAACCTCAGCTAAAACAAAAAATTGAAAGAAATTTAAAATTGTGAGTTAAATATGCAAACGATTATAAAACATGTGAATTGCCACATATTGATAATACTTTGTTAAAGCAGAAGGGCACCTCCTTTCAGAAGTCCACAAGAAAAAAAAAAAAAGGGGGGAGTTCATATTACTACTCCTACCTAGTTAAGTATGCACCCACACGTGTTCCTAAACATCTGTGAGAACATTATGTACAGTACTGTTGCAAATCAGAATGGATCAAGAAAACTGCAGACTACTAATATCACTTCCACAGAAAGCAGCATTAGAACAAATACTAGGAGAAAAGAGAGAAGGCATGGAGGATAGTGGAAAGGAGGACTGGCAGCTTCACCCAATGGTTTATCACACATCTCATGTGCTTCTTTAGTCAAGTTTATCAACTTAAATATCATTCAATTAGATTGATACTTTGACGCAAATTTTAGAGAAGAACAGGGAAAAGCTACTTTGTTGAAACATAATTAATGGAAATGTTATAACAAAAAAAATGGGAAATTCATATATGTGTTATGGTAAAGATTTAGATACAGAAGACAGGAGTAAATGACATTCAGTCATACATGACAATGAATGACAATTCTAATACACTGCTAACAGTCATGTATCTGGGAACTAACCAAAGGTATTTCTGCCACGAACTGGAAACAACATAAGAAGAAGAAGGTTGGAGCAATCAATCAGAGCAAAAATGAATAATCTACAGCATGACAACACCATTAATTGGACAAATGCTATCCCAGGATGCACCAACCAAAAATGAAAAAGCTTGGCTGGCTTAGTTTAAAATGACCCAGAGAAGAGCAAATGCAAATTAACTGAGGTTGTAATTGGAAGTTTTGGGCTACTAAAGCAAAAAAACATTGGCAAAAGAAAAAAACAGGCATGGACTCATTAGAAAGTAGATAATTTCTTTCTATCAGAGAGCCAATACATGAGAACAAACCTTTCTTCACACTGTGTTCAGATAAAATATTTACACAGGAATTTGATAAATTCATACACTGAATAATGGAGATGTTGGTGGTAACAGGGAACTTGATTCTGAGTCTGATGAGATCCCTTCTAATTCAATCACCAGTTCCTTTATAAATCATTTCAGTGATGCAATACAAAGACTCATGTATATCACATTCAGCAATACCTTTTCTGCACCTTTCCTGGAATTTAAAACAAATTATACAAATTTAATTTGTATAATTATGTTCTATCTGCCCTAAGTATCTTCTGCTATAAAGGAAACTGACCCCTTCTTAATATTATATTAGGGACCTTTGTATTACGAACATATTGATTTCATCACATTCTACACAGAATTCATTATTTCTGCTTTTATTATTTATTTCCTCGCTCAAATTCAGCTCATATGTAAGAATAACATCAAACTTGTTCTGCTCTCTGCAGTGAGATAACTGAGGTACTTGGGACTCTTTGTACCCGCATTATGCTGACGGTTATGACAAACATGTGACCCTCTATCTTTGTCAAGAATTCGCTGGAGTAAGTCAGGAGTTTTACCCATATTCTGCTGGTACCACAGGTACTGAGCTATGCTGGCCATCTGCAGGCTGGGGAGGAGGTGGAGGTGGCTGCTGAGGTCTGTTTAAAGTAGCATGTCGTGCTGTAGTAGAAGGTGGTCTGTATTCGTGTTCATGGCTTTGGGATACACCAAAGGACTGTGAACCATCTCCTGTTCCATAGGAAGGCATTGCTATCTGCTGATGGAGGGAATGATTCGGAGTGGCAGGATAAGAATAATCTGTAACGTCAGATGCATGGGACCTAGAATTAAAGTAAATGGATGCAGAAGAACAGATGATGCACGTTCAACAGTATTATCTAAACAGTTCACAAGAAAACCTAAAAAGAATGCAATCGGGATTACTTTTTCTGCAGTGGGACTCCTTAACTATCAAGCACCATTCTCATCTAAGATCATTAAGTAACAGAGTCTTCAAAAAAGAAAGGAATTTTATCCAGGTTTTACTATTCTTTAATAGCAGCAAGGAAGCATGCTGTTTATGTCAATGATTTTGACAGTCCACTGTTTGAAGTAATATTATTTATCAGTTTGGCCTTATGTTAACAACAGCAGCAGAAAAATGAAAGCAATATTGCAAGCACTCATATATGCAGAAGATTATGCTTTACCAAAGCAGAGAAAACAAATTTCAAAAGTTAGGAAATGCTTTTTGTTTGCACAAATTATTTTGTTGCAAAGGCTTAGAGAAGCTGGGAAATATAAATATTAGTTGAGCAGAGAGTTCATAAAGATACAAAGTCCAGGGTGCTCTCTCAAACAAGCCCAAGAGAGGGAGCAAAAGAATCCCTTCATCCCATTACTGCACAGAGCTGTATCGTATTAGTAATGAACAATGATGCAGCCTGGCTTTTAGTAAACGCAGTAAACTGATGCACTTATCCGTAAGACTGGAAGCAAGGTAAGCAACAAAAAGCCAGGGCTTTGAGTAAAGCAAAATGACAAACCCTTTGGGCATTTTGTCCTCTTTCATGCTTCCTGCCTGCTCCATTTTCTTTGCGTCACTCATGAACTCAATGCCCATTTTCCTTCTCTCCCACTCTTCTTTTCTTGTTCTTACTTTTCTCACATTAACTTGCTGGTTTCTGTTTGGATTCAGCTTGTGTTTCTCTCTCTGAAGTATAATAAGTATAACAAATTAATTGTGAATTGCCACAGTTTGGACACTTGGATGTCAACCTTTAATGTGCAAGTTTTACAATTAGCAAGCTAAGTCAAATAAGAACTTTTTTTTTAATCTCAGAATTAAAAAAAAATTACAGAGATGAATACAAATAAGGTCCTAAAGAAGTGAAACACACCACTCACGCAGTAGCTGTCAGCATAACAACCTCTCTGAAGCCAGCACCTCTCTCTGAATGCATCATGCCCTTATAATTCAGTTCCCACAAGTGAGACTACCCCCAGGAGAAAGTGATCTTCCACCTCACTACTGGTCACAAAATTAATTTTTCATAAAATAGATTTCAGGATTTAATCGCTAATATTTGCTTCACTGAAATTGCAAGTTCTTCACTTCATAAGTCCTTGAAGTTTTATAATAAGCACAAGATAAGTTGTCCCAAAAAATCTATACCCAACATAATGATGCTTCTTTACAATTTCTGCTTACAGCGTCTTGCAGATTGTGACCATTAGTGATATCTGCAAATAGCTGAAAACATTTCAACACTGCTGGGAGATTACAGACAATGTCTAGACCAGTAATTAAATCTGAGAAACCTGGAAGCAAGGTGTTAAGGCCAGAAAAAGGACTTGAAATGCGTGAAAGGCAGAGCTCAAAGACAATAAAAATCCACATCTTGCACTTGGCAGATAAAAATCACTGTCATCTTATCAGAGAATGGTCACTGTGACACATAGCAGACTGGCAACAAGGAGATAACATTTTGCAGTAGGAACCATAAAAAAACAACTGTGACTGAAAGATTCTAGAGAGCCTCTGAACATGCTACTGAAGTAGCAAGTGGCTACTATTGAAGTAGCAATTTTCTTTATGTCTTGTTATTTAATTTTATCATTTTTGTTATTATTTTGTTATTATTGATCCTCACTAAGGTTGAAACATGAGGTATACAAAGTTCTGAGCAGCTTGGATGTGTAACTGCTTATTTCAGTTGTACAGCAAACTGAAGGTATCAGTGCACACTTCTGCAGGATGGTTGTTTTCCCATCCTGGCCACAATGGAACAAATTAGTTCCATTCATTCCTAGCACTACAGCTACCAATGAACAGTGACAGAAACAAAATGGGAGAAAATCTTTTTGTGAAACCAGCTTAATGAACAAACTCAGACTTCTGTGCACAACAGGAGAAGGTTAACTCCCAATGAGCTCAAAGGGAATCTCACACAATGAAAATGAGCTCTGCTGTGTATCCTAAAGCAGAGATTTTTCTTCAAAGAGATCTATTTCAAGCAATAATGTTACATTTGGCATTGCAGCTTGTTTTATAGACAAACTAGACCTGAAGAAAGAAGATCTGCCATTACCTGGTAGAATGCAATTGAACTGCTTTTGCAACTACAACTACTTAAGATCGAACACAAAGCATAAAGCAAACTTATTTCATTCCAATGCACAGCAAATCATGATGACAAAATGACCATCTGACGCTAAGGAAAAAAAAATATCATTAATTACAGAACGTAGGTTGTTATCTGTAAGAAGAGCTTTAAAACACACACGATATGTCTTGTCTATTCTAACTACCCCCAGCCTGTACAAACATCTAATTCTACTCAGTGTTTGGGAACATACAACTATGGCATAAGAAACAGCTTGGTTGTAAACAGACCTAGTATCTGGGGACAGTGATCCCTCGGAAGATGCTCCATGGTACACACTCTGAGACAACCTGTTGTCAGGTCTAAGCTCTTTGTCATACGCCATCATATTCCACTCCTGGCGTCTGTTCCTGGCTTTTCTAACCTTTTTCACCTCACGGGTGGTGCCATCTATACGCTTTTGCTCCTGATGTTCAAACAAAAGAAATAAAGCACGCAAAGAGAGAAAAAAAGGGAAAGGAAAAAAGCAGGTTAAAATGCAGTTAGAGTGCATGAAATTAAGACCAGATTTACAGATGAAGCCAAGTCTTCATAAAATTTCTCTGCACTGAAAATGCCAAGAACTCCTTGAGCTCTGAACCCCATAAGCAGAAAAATGCCACTTTGCCCTTCTTCTGAAGGATGCACGTCCCAGTGTGATACAGACCTATTGTCTTTATTATTTAACATGCCCTCCCTTCATACATCTGGTAAGTTACCACATTCCTCCTTGCTGTGCTTCATCCTCGCTTCTGATTATTCTATATAAAAATGATTAGTGACACTAATTCTCTTTGCAATGTGTCAGTAATACTCAGGCCAGCACTATGTTACAGCTTGATTACTTCAGTTGGTTTGGCTTTTGAAATCTTTCAGTATCATTTCAGGCCCAGTCAACATCAGTGCTAGTTACCTATCAGATCTTCCAGCAGTGAGACTCCATGCTTTCCCAAATCTGGAACTTCTCCATCTGCCACTTTTGACTTCTCACCACGAATACAAAATCATATTGTATGCTTTGGTATGAAAAAAAGCAAGACTGAACAATCCAAACTGAAAGAGGTACATTTGTGCTACCCTTTTCCTCAGTATTTACAAGGGCACTGGATTAATATATGTTTTTTAATCATCTAAAGAATCCACATTTTACTCATAGATGGAACCTCTTTAACCTATTTATTTATAATTTGGTATTAATCTTTTGGCTGTTAGAAAAATTCTCACTAATGCAAGCATAATCAACAGTATTTAGATAGGAGCAAAGTAAAATGCTGATGGGCAAGCATTTTATTCTTGAGTCTCTACCTCCAAAGTACAGAGGATAGCTGGAAAGTCCCACCAAAAAGGAAAAGAAAAAGATGAACAGAAATTCCCAAAGCTGTCAAATAGCACCAATTAAATAATCCTGAAACAATTTATTTGGCATTATACAGCTAAAAAATTAACTATTATTGCCTTTTTTTTGGATCTCTGGCCTGCTCATGCATGTCTGTATCACAGACCTGCTGAGCTACACTTGCTAGCATTAACAACGACAGAAGAATCTTTATCAAATCTTCCTGACACCACTTGCTCATTCCTGGCCCCTGTAGTGAGGATCTTTTTTTAACTTTGAATAATGTTAAGTAAAGATTACCACTTTGGTTCCTTTTTTTTTCCTCTCAATTAATTTTTTTAATTTTTTTCCTCCCCAAACTTTTTAGCATCACTCTCTTATTTATCCAGGTTATGCAACACTTTACCTTCTCATTTAATGTCACTTCTTTTACATCAACATTTTCTAATATGGGAATTGGAGCAGAAAGGAGGCAGGTTCAATCGTGCTTTATTTTACACATACAAAATTCTTCTATTCCCCATGCTTCTAAATGCTTTACATCTGTCTTTTTCATTTGATCACTGCAAAATTTGATTTCTATTAATTTTGATCTTTTATCCTGATTCATTTCCTTAACTTTTGTTACCAACTTATAATCTATTTAAGAAGCACAAGCAGGCCTCCAAGTTAACTAAAAACCTGCTTTCGTGTTTTCTCCTCACAGGAAAGTAATTCCATCCTCTGAGGGTCATTACTATCAATTTCATTTAAGTTTCTGAAGTAAATGTCAGCCTTCTGAACCACGTACAACACTCCTTGGAAGAGAATCACTTCAATACAGTTCCTGCACAAACAAGAGTGCTTATGTGACTGCTTACACATTCATCACCCATTTAATAGCTTTTTTTTTTTTTTTAATTTTAAGAGATCACCACATTTTTATGAAAAAAAAAGTAAACAGGTGTGTGTGTGTTAATAAACACCAACAAACACCCAAGTCTTTGTTTGATTTTATTGGGTCAGACTTGGACAGGTTGTTCCAGACCACCATCTATAAGTACGCTGAAGCAATAAATATGCTGGAACCCCTTTTACTCAAGCTGTACTAAGCACTGCTTGTACTGATTTTTTATCACCTAAAGGCACCTCTAAAACATTTAATTTTTTCAATAACAGCAAGGCAGACAAATTGCAGCAGCAGACAAAACCATATATAACTTTGGTAGAGCAGCTTTATGCTGGTCCAGGCACAGAGGATGATCTTATTAGCTCCTACACACCATGGAAACACTTTCACGTCCTGAAAGATGAGCGACAGTTCTATGTTTAATGCATGAAACAGTTTTAGGGGAACTGAAGACTTCAAAAATAACTACTGTTAGGAACATTTTTTTAATGAAAATTAAGCATTATTAAGAAGAGTTGCTTCCTCTTAGTTAAGTGTAATAGAAGCCGTGGTAGGCACAGAAATGCTGTAGGTTAAGCCAGCAAGCAGGTACATCATTCATCTGTTGGCAGGAAGTGATTTTAGCCATACAGCAAAGCGTATTACAGCCTTCAGAGTTAAGTTAAATTCAAGCTTGATATTTGCATTAAGAGTTAGCAAATGATATTTCAAGCATCTTTATAAGGAGTAACAGCCTGTAACTGAAAGTAGCATCAGCAAGTATTTTCAGTGCTTTCAAAGAAAAAAAAAAAAGATCAATGAGCCTAGCATATTTTCCTGACTTCACAAAATGTACAGGATCACATCCATCACAAGTCATTAATGATTTCTGAAATGCAAGCATACAAACCCCCCAAATTTAGAGTTTTCTAGTTATCAGGATAACTAATTATTCCTAATGAAAAATTGGGGAACAATAAAAAGCAAAGTAGAAAAACCTTCCTTTGGTGAACCAACTGGTCTACAGTCACACCATTCAGATTACTGCCATATGAAAGCCAAACTCGTTGTACTCCCATGCACCAATCTACTGAAAGCTCAAAAGTAAAAAAAAAAACCAACAAAACACAAGCAAACAAAAAACTCGGGGAGTACACCGCAAATTTTAAACTTGTAAAGGAAATTACAGCTTCATTTGGAGCTGAAAGAGCCAAATCAGAGGAATGCTGTGTTAAAATTCCCCGCATTTAAGCTGAAAGAAGAACTGTGATATTTGAAGGCAGGAAAATGAAACACCTCACCAGTTTTCTGCTGTGATTTACTCACACATTTAAGGCAAACTACCAACACAGCATTGGAAAACACACCCTTTGGTGCAGAGAGTGTTCTTAATCTTCACTGACCACCAGAAATGTTGAGGCTAAAAACCAGCTGCATTTGGTCACTTTAGTAGGACTGCATAGTTAATAATATGCTAAACTATACAAATCTATTTCTTCCCTCACGGTCTCTCAACAGGTTTTACACTTTATGCTTCTGTAAAGTATAAATTGTTGGCAAAAGTCTCAGTTAGTTCATCCAAAGTATAACTTCAACCATAACACTGTTAGAAGATGCCCTGGATTCATCCTCAGTCATTGCTACCTTAGGGACAAAAGAACAAAAGAAAATGGTAGTCTCAAGCAACCTGTGGATTGAACATCTCAACCCAACCATGCAGCTTTCCAGAGATTCCAGAAGATATTATGCTGATTTGCACATCAACTTCTGGAATGCTAGAAAACCCTGGCTTCTACTTGTCAGTCACATCTTTCTATGCAAATTTCCATCTGCGTTGCTTTCTTCATAGCTGATCTTGTTGTACGTGCAATCAAATCAAACAGCACTCCAGGTAGAATTGATGTTTCTGAGGTGCATGGCTATAATTCTACATGATTGGAACAGAGTGTATTTTGCATCTTGTTTGTAGACTGTAATATGGCAATTAAAATCTACAAAAAATGCACCAGGGGTGGAAATAAGTGAGACGCATTGCCTAAAATAGTCTGACAGCAAGTCTTGATATAAAAGCTTCTGTAAAAATCTCTAAAGGTATCAAAACATTTTCAAGTGATATTATGTTATAAACTTTAAAAAGGCCTTTGTATTTTCCCTTTTTTAGTATCAAATCAGAATGAAAAATTTAACAATTGATAGCTTTTTTTTTATCCCTTTCTCTAATGAAAAGCCCTAAATATGAAGGGGAAAAGAGGGCTGGAAGGAAAAAGCCTCAAAGGTTCTAATTAACCCTTTACTTTTTTTTTTTTCCACAAAAAGTACTGGAGAACAAAAGCAGCTATAATTGTTTCCCATCTCTCAGTCAACTTTATGGTTTATCATACTGAGGACACAGCTGGATTCCAACCCTGCATGTAAATTTTTATGCAATTAGACACATAACCAAATGAATATTTTCAAGTATGTTGCACTGGACAATATCCTGTACTGAAAACATTTACTTAGCTTTTTTTCAGTGCTATTTCATACTGAGATACCTCTCAAAACAGAAAACACTTTTGACTGATACTCCTAACAGGAAGATCTGATTATTTGTTTCCAAAATTAGAATCATAAATTAAAACAGCTGCTGAATTCAAGTTGTTAAGTCTTCATGCTTTGTTTTAAAATGTTGCAGTC